CTAAAGCTGACACCCACCCCCTAAATTGAACTGGAGATTCAAATATACTTCCAATCAAAATCCCAGCCAAGGGCTGGGGATGTGGCTCAGTGCGAAAGTGCTTGCCTGGCATGTGTGAGGCCCTGGGTTCAAATCCCCCAGCACCAAAAAAAAAAAAAACAAGCTGATTCTGAAATGTGTGCGCAAGAGGCACGCAGGCCACGGCCGCTGGTGGCAGTGGGGGGTGCAGGAGGTAACAGGTGAGCAGATGTCGGACTCCACCCAACACCTGGGAATTGAGAGTGTGATATCAGACCCCTGGACAGAGAGAGAGAGGGCTGGAAACTTGACAGATGACCAAAGCCCCTCTGCAGGTCACTGGGCCAAGGCGGAACTCTTCAGTAAGAGGAACCGAGGTGATGGCTCATCCGCAGAAAGAAGGGATTAAAAATGAATCCCCACTTCACACCAAGGCAGAAATCAACTCCAGGCGGATTAAGGACTTAGATGAGAAAAGCAAACTGAGAAGCGGTTCAGAAGAGTCTAGGAGGGGTGATCTCCGTGACTCAGCACGGGACAGGATTTCTCCCACTGGCTCCTCCTGCACTGTCCCTGTGTCTCTGTGTGCCCCGGGGCAGCTGTTCAAGACCAACAGCTGGAGATGGACCTCGATCCCTCCCTCACGCCCCACACCCACTCTTAGCACATTCACCCCAGTCCTCCTCCACCTCCACGGGATGCTTCCCCCCACCTTCCCCAGCACAGGGCACCCTCCAGATTTGTGCAGTGCCCCAGCCTGGCTCCAGACGGAGGGCTGTAGTTTGGATCTGTGACACGCTCCAGGGGCCCTGTGTAGGAGCTTAGTACCCAGCTTGGGGGTCTGGGCAGGTGGTGGAAATGCCAATCGGTGGGGCCTGTGGGAGGTCTTAGATTGGAGGGTGTGGGACCCTGGCTTCCCTCTTCCTCTTTTGACACTCCCTGCTGCGAGCTGAGCAGCTTCCCCCACGGCTCCTGCCTTCAGAGCTGCCTCTCCACAGGCCCAAAGCAACCAGAAACCAGAAACACCAAAACTCTGAGCCAAAATAAACCACTTCTTTTTATAAGTGGATTTTTTTTCAGGTATGTGTTACGGTAACAGGAAGCTGCCTGACACACCAAGCCACGGTCCCCTGTCCCATCTGGGATCTAGCAATCCCCTCTCCTCCTCCCTGTTTCTGCCCTACCTCTCCCTTATGTCTATTCACAGCCCAGCAACAGGAGTGGTCCTCTCACTACATCACACTAGCCCATCACCCTGTTAAAACCTAGCATGGCTTCTGTGGTAGTCAGCTTTCCGTCACTGTGACAAAGTGCTCGAGAAAAACAACTTTAAAGGAGGAAAATATTTACTTTGGCTCATGGCTTCAGTCTGTAGACAGCCATCTCTGTTGCTGTGGACACAGGAGGGAGAGAACTTAATGGCAGAAAGGAGGCGTGAAGGAGCAGCTCATGACAGCCAGGAAGCAGGGAGAGAGAGGAGAGGCCAGGGACAGGATACAGTCCCCAGAGACACACACTCGCTTCAACTAGGTTCCACTTCCTACAATTTCCATCACTTTCTTAGAGTCCATTCAAACTACGAATCCATCACTGAATCAATGTGCAGATGAGGTCAGAGCCCTCGTGATGCCATCACTTCCCTGTCACCACAGCTGCTCTGGGGACCAACCTTCGGCATGTGAGTCTTTGGGGAACATTCCAGATCCAAACCATCACAGCGTCCTGTCTTCCAGGGCCTTGGTGATCTAGCCTGCTGCCTCTCTGACCTCTCCCGCTGCCTCCTGACAGGCCGGGGCCTCACCCACCTTGGGCAGCAAGTGCCAGGACCAGCCCTGGGGGGCGGCCAAGAGGCCGTGCAGACGGGGCACAGACACAACACGCCGCAGGGCGAAGCCCGGGCACAGCATCTGCCGATTTCCGGGGTGTAAACGGGGCTCCTGGGCCAGCTTCAGGCAGCGTTTCT